TCTTTTAGCAATTGTTGTTTTTTTAATGTCACAATTCCAACCCTGCTCCTTTACCCGGGCTTGGACCGGCAAAAGTGACCCGAAATAGGCACTCTGGTGGAGTTACTTTGTGTGTGTTTATAAGTAGTTTTAAACCTTGTGATCCACAAAACAGCATAAGAGTAAAAGAGTAAAAGAAGAACTGACTGCATTACAGCTTGTTGATATGCACTTTCACGTCTTTTTTAGCGACTTTTTTTAGAAGAAAAGTCACTCAGGGGTCTGAAAACTCGCTAAATATAGCGACAAAGTTGCCAAGTTGGCAACACTGACTGACACTAGAAAATCTTTCAGTATAAAGCTAATGCAAAAAAAAAAAAATTCACCAGTGCCCTGCTCATAACTTTATCTTTGTAATCCAACTTAGACCAGCTATCACTTTAGCTATAATGTTTTTAAGCTATTATGCACTTCATGATTATTGATTGGCTAATAGTTTGGGCTTAAGCAACTAGAGCCAGCCTATTCACATCGCTACTGTATGCCTCTCTCTCCACTAATCTGATGGCTTAGTTTCAATGTGTTACTGACTTGACAGTAAATTATTATTACAGGTAATAACAAATAATACATCTGGTAAACCTCGATTAATGGTTCATTAGTTCCTTTCAGGAAACTACCAACAAAAAGATATGTTTCCTTCTTTCTTTCCTTTGTTTCTGACTCAGTGTCTTGGTAGTGATCTGTAACAACAGTTTGGAAACAACAACGATGCTGCCTGCTCTATCCATATGACCTCATGGTTACCGGGGCGATGGGGATTCCTGGCGCAGAGAGTGATGTGATTGGCTGAGCCCGGAAAAGAGCTCTTAAATGGGTCAAAGCAGTCAAGTGTCTCTGCGAAGGAGGTGTGTGTGTCTAAGAGTGTGTGATTGTGCATCGAGACAGTGGGAGAACGCGTGCGAGCTACCGACTGTACCTACAGCACAGATCGGTAAATCAGTTCTGTAATCAACAGTGTCTTTCCTGGATCTTCCCACTCTGTGTTTTTCTCCTTCTGTCAGGCTCTCGTGTCCTTCCTTCCTTTCGCTGTTTGATCAGTTTTGTTGTTTTTTTTTTTTCTTGTCTGCATTTCCTCTCCCTCCTGATCTATGGATGCACCCCATCTGTCTGCTCTGCGACCGTGGAGGCCAACACTGACCCCAAATGGCTGTACTCTGTAATGCTTGACTGGGCTTTGAGATAGAAAGAAAACACATCAGAAAGATGATGCAACATGCTTCCAAATTATTGTTAGTGTGAAATAATTGGCCTTGATAGTTAATGTTGTCAGTGTCAGATACAATAGAGCTTTTCCCACTGCTAATGAGCATGTTTTTTGTTTTTTTAGATGTTTTTGTGCCGGATGACTAGAATTATGTGAGTGAAATACTGTTAGGAAAGAAACTAGAGCTATGGGCTCATGCTGCAACCAACCTGCTTCAAATCAAACCGGATTCTAATTAAAAATCGTTCTTATCACTTTCTCATACTTATGATCTTGCGTACTTTGCCTACTACAATACTTTATCTATTAACTCTGGTATACTTTAAAAGTCTTGGTCGAATATGATTCTGCACAAAAGTGAAGAAATGGTTAGTAATACCAGCCCTGAAGCCAAAGGTCAAAGGTTCAAGCCCTTAAACCTGCAACATGTCCTTTCACATCACTACTTTCCTCCATGCCCAAAATGAGTTCACTTTAATTGTCAAAGTGTGTGTGCTTAGCGTAGCGGACAGGTGGGTTTATGTGTTAGGACGTCTTAGCTCAGCCAGGACAGCAGTGCTTAGGTCTGGGTCAGAGCTGCAGTGTTAAAAGGGTAAGGGTGTATGAGGGGCATCGGTACCGCAATGCAGACTTCCACTCTGGCACGTCTAAATAAGGCTTCAAGTGTGTGTGTGTGTGTGTGTGGTGTGTGCTTGGCCTTTTGTGTAGCGGAGCAGACACCCTATCCCTACGGAGAGGACTGGTGTTAGGATAGAACCTGGCTGCACCGCTCTCTGGAGCTCTCTTACACACACACTTAAAAAACAATCTACAAAGTGTTAGAAGTGCAGCGATCGATTGAATTATCCTCAGTCCACCAACATTTTCTGTTGCGTACGTGTGTGCATGTGTGTGTGTGGGATGGCATAGTAGGTTTTACTTGAAGTTGTCAGGGTGCTGGCCGAGGGCCAAAGTAAGGGTGTCCAGAGCATGACGGTGGTGTTTCTGGGCACTGAGCAGCAGGGTGAGCAGGTGGAGGGAGTGTAAGTCATCCCCACAGAGAGACAAAGCTGCCTGAAGGGGCTCCATAGCTGCTGATACCTGCCAGATAAACACCAAATTTGTCAAAAAGAAAAAGAAAAAAAACAAGTTTGTCAAAAACAAAACAAAAAAATAAGCTTCAGTATTGATTCCATTGGCTTGCTTTTACCTGGCGTACGATGGCCAGCTGCAGAGCCAGGTACATGGCAATCTGCGCATCCTGAGGGTCCAGTGAATGAGCTCTGTAGAGGGAAGACAAATAGCTCAGTGAGGGTGGACTGTTGAACTGTGTGGCTCGCTTGCGTGGCTGAAACACGTGATAGAGAATGAAACAAGCCTGACTTACTTTTTCAAAGCATTTAGTGCCTTTTTGTTGAAGTCGTTTCGGTCTGTGGTCAGAGAAGCTGCAGGAAAAATGGGAAATTTACAATTTCAGATAAAAATAAAAGCTGATGATGGACTACGGTTCAAGCAAGTTAAAACAAGAGTTGGAATCAGGGGCAGTTATATGAAGGCCTGTGTCTTGACAAGTAGCTTAGACAGTCCATCATTGTTGATGTTGACTACACTATTTCCTATTAGCCAGAAATGAGACCTACCGTATTTTTCGGACTAATAAAGCGCACTTAAAATCCTTTAATTTTCTCAAAATCGACAGTGCGCCTTATAATCCGGTGCACCGCATGTATGAATTCTGGTTGTGCTTACTGGCCTTGAACCAATTTTATGAGGTACACGGCGCTCAAACATCTGTTTTAGTACGACTTTGGTAACCTACGAAGCCGCACCGCCTGATGGCTTGCCGGAGCATTACGGCTACCGTAGTCAGGAGCCTCGAGGAGTAATCTGGGTCCAAAACTCCGTCATCTTCAGGTCCCAAAGTCAAATGAACATCGTGGCATCACTGAGAGTTAAAAACTGTCTAAATTCTTTCATCTTTAATAAAATGATCAGCGTTGCTGCTTAACCAGGTGTAACAATTAAGTTTAACATCCAGGCATCCATGAAACCGGATATTCTGAAATTTTACGGAGTTAGCAGAAAGTTAGCTCGCTATTTTTTACCTTAATATAATATACCATGTTCTGACTGAGAGATTTCTGAAACATTAAAACTTACAGCTCTGCTATCACAATAAAAGTTAACGTGGCAGGATGCTGTAAACAGATCAAACTTCAGTCGGGAGAACAAATGAGATAATCCATCCACAATACGAGGTTAGTCATTAATATACAGCAACAACATGGGAATAGAGCAGCTGCGAGATAATTCTACATTAATGGATCAATGGTACAGAAGAGGAGGAAGCAAGAAGAATGAGTTGAGTAAAGTTTGACTTCTCTGACTGTTTTGTTTCGCTTAATGCTCCTCATAATCTGGTTCGCCTTATGGTCAGACAAATACGGTAAATTGTGTCCTATGGAGCAGCTCAAACTCATCACAAGGTTTTCTAGCTAGCTGCCTTCACCTACACTTCACTTACAGTTTTGCATTATGCTGACTGACGCTCAGGTTTTAGATTGCTCCAACGCTCCATTTCGTATGAGGTCAATGAGAGCAGATAATTCACTAAGCTCAGGGAAAAGCTCTGGCTATGGACATAGTTTCCCTACACTTGTTGCTCGGTTCCTTTTTTGGGGAGCAGTTTGAAAAAAGAATACCAGGAAATAAACTTGTTTCAGAGAGTGGATGAACTGACAGGTTTTATAAAGGTCCAGTCTAATATAAGGCAAACATGAATTATTGAATCAGGCAATGCTACTCTCACAGACCCAGAATAAAAAGTCCCATAGACAGTAAGATCTAGTTAACACTTGTCGACTAAGCTATTTCCTGCTGGCAGCGGACAGAATTTAAACTGTGTCCATTGGAAATCAAGTGAACCCAACATCAGCCCTGAACTCATTACAAGGTTCTGTAGCTGGCTGCCTTCTTCTTTGCTTGACCACAAACTGCTGCTTTTCTCAGGGAATTCCAAACAAATGACCAGTGGTATTGTTTTTATTTTGGACAGGATGTTCTCCATATATTTCTTCAGATTGTGTGGTTAGATTTACCATCAGAGGCCTGCAGACTGCAGCAGAGTCCCAGAGCCAGGTAGGCTTTAGGCAGAAATTCTCCTGCTTCCTCCCCCATAGACACCACACTCTGGGACAGAGCCTCTGCCTCCTTGATCTGCATACACACATAAACACATTAACCTCTGAAGGATGTTAGCTGGGATGAATATGCGGCAGAGGGACGAGGAAAAACACCCAAGTTGAATCAATTTTTGGTGCAACAATAAGCTACATGGAGATTGGGCTGTTCGAAGCATCGCGCAGAACTGTCTCTTTGTCTTCTATCTCTTTGTGTAATCCCCAGCTGACTCTGTGATGTGGAGATCAGTGCTCTGTAGAAGCCATACCATCTGTTACAGTCGACTCAGTCGACTTCTTGTTCTTTTTGGGGCTTTTGTGGCTCTTTGAGACTCTGGTTGCGAAGCTGGGATCAATCACATGCCTCCCTCATGGGTGAGCATGATGGATAAGACTGATAAAACTCATAAAAATAAAAATATCTATATTTGCTGTGTGAATTGTGAGGTACTGTAAAGTGAGCTGAAAACTTTGCCAGTCTGTCCAGCAAAATGTGTCTGCGATGCAGTGGGGAGGGACGTGAGTTTAGTGCGAGGACAGTCCGGACAGATTTGCTTGAAGGACAGCGCAGAGTTTGCTGAAGGACACACGCTCGCCCACACACACAGCAGTAGACTGCAGGCGGTGTGTGGCTGAGCCGAGCCGAGGTGCTCTGAGCTGAGGAAAAAGTGTGTCACTCCGTGTGAGGTATGGCTGGTGGCTGGTGGCGGGCGGGCAGGTGGGTAGATGGGCGTGGGTGGAGGTGGGGGGGTAATGCCTTTGACAGCACACCAGTGCAACAGCAAGCAAACTGCTCTGACACCCCCCCTCCGCTTCATGTCCTCCTCCTCCCTTCATCCTCCTCCTCTGTTCTCTCTCCCTTCCTCTGAATCCAGCCCTCGCTCTTTTAAAGCCTGCGCACAATAGACCAGCCGTTTACACGCGGACCCTGTCTGTGCACGTTTTAGGCAGATTATGATTTTGTTTTTTTTCTCCTCTCCTTGAACAGTGTGGAGAAAGAACACGTCGCCATTGTCTGTGGAAAACCTTGAATCTGCAAAAAACTGCTCTTCAGGAATTTAGAAAAGCAGCTTTACGTGCAAGATCGAGAGTCCCACAGTTCATGGTGATGTCACTGGTTTGGGGGATTTCAGATATGTCTACAAGAAACCTACGAAAAACCAAAGAAAAGAGCAAAAAATGTTAAAATACGTAACGTTGTTGGCTGCAGTAAATATCAGCCCAGACTGTCCAGTGGAGCTGATGGTGGATAACAGTGGCACATTTATGTAATGCCACACTGCACTACGACCATAGTGTCCCATTGTGATTACGGCTGTAAGCTCCTTAGTGTTTCCAGCCTGCCATGATCTCCAGCCACTGACAGATGTGCTCTCTCCATTTGCCTCTGTTAGCTCCACTTTTCTAATCTCTCTTTCTCTCTCCAACTCCCTCTCTCCCTCTACACTAAATAACACTGTTGGTGTTATTTTCTCTTTCCTGCTGAGATCATGCACTGAAGGAATATCCAAGCAGGCCCGGGATTCACAGTAGTAGTGTGTAACTGCCTGACTGACCCCAGCATCAATCCCAAATATCAGGGGTCTCGAACTCCAGGCCTCGAGGGCCGGTGTCCTGCAGTTTTAGATCTCACCCTGAGTCAACACACCTGAATCAAATGATTAGTTCATTAGCAGGCCTCTGGAGAACTTCAAGACATGTTGAGGAGGTAACTTAGCCATTTAAATCTGCTGTGTTGGATCAAGGACACATCTAAAACCTGCAAGCCACCGGCCCTCGAGGTCTGGAGTTCGAGACCCCTGCCAAATATTTAGGACCCGGTGATGTCGTCTTACAACTTTTGATCAGCACATTAGATGCACTATGCAATTCTGTGACTCGATTTTATGTTATATTCTTGTAAGTACTAGCCGAAGCTGACCATGTGCAAGAAAACTGCTTCCATGGGAATTAAGAAGGTAAGCAGCAGCCAGGTGGTGCTAATCAAATGCACCTGATGAACTAATCATCAGCAAGTATGAGCATCTCTTAACACAAAGCTAAATGTTCCCAAGAGGGAAAGAAACTGCAAAAATCCCAGCAGCTACATCTCAGACTCTACAGACCTCAGCCAGCATGTTAAATGTTAAAATTCATGGCAGTACAATTAGAAAAAGACTGAAGAAGTATGGCTAGTTTTCCAACTGCCAATTGGGTCGAGTGATGTTTTTGTGACAAAGCTAGAGCTCTGCAGCAAAAAAACTAACCACAAAAAGTCATTTTATCCCAATAATCTTAGTTTTATAATTGTTAAAAAAGCAAAGCTGTTCTGTTTTCCAACTACTTAAATCTTTTAGTAGCACTAAACCATGGGCTGTTTCAAGCATCTGACTGAGGGTGTAAAAATGTTTTTAACTGACACCCACAAAGCAGTGGAAAACTATAAAATGATATCAAATGGCTTCCAGCTTGTAATTCCCACTTTCCAAAATGGCATTAAGAAACGTCAGTTAAGGACAACTGTGAAAAGAAAGGCAAGCTCTGGAAGAACAAATTTACATGGCTGCTGGATAGAAAGGCAACGTAAAACCCCCATATGACTGCAAATTAGCTAAAAGAAGGTTTAACTGACATGAGCGTGGTAGTGCACCATTTCACAACGCAGCTCTGACGCACAAACAAGAAACGCAAGCTCAAGTTTTCCGACTAGTCCCTATAGATTCCGGATGTGAACATCAGTAAAAATTTGGGAGGAGATCTTAAAAAGGCTGTGGTTGCAAGTCAGGCTCAAAATCTCTCTCTAAATACGTGTGAACTTGATCTTCCATTTCTGAAGTTTAAAATAAAGCAACGGTACACTAAGATTTGTTTCCTGCACGTTGTTTCATTTTAAAACTAATGAACTACGTCATTTGCTTGTGGCTTCCCACACTTTTGCATACTGTTTTGCAGGCTGGTTGTGTGACAAGCCTTTTACGCTGTCAGCATCTCTGTCAGTTATGAGCGTTCACATTATCAAGAAATAACACTCAATCACGCTAGCTGCTCCTTGCCTTGAGCTAAATGCTAATACCAGACTGCTAATATACTTACCGTGACAGTGCTGACATGCAGATGTTACCAGATGTAAAGTAAATGTTAAGCTTTGAGGGCAGATGCAGGGGTGCGTGCATGATTTCATTGAAAAGAGCTAATTAGTATGTATCAATGTAATTGCTAAATCCGTTTTAAGAAGAAGAGACGTGAAAGTCGTTGTCATGTGGCAAACAGGGCGGCTTCATTATGGCAAAAATAATAATCACAGTTATTTTGGTGAATATAGAAACCTTGATTTTTAAGATCTCCACCGTGCTTGACATGTAATATGAGGTGTTGTTGGCCAAACGTGGCGCTGTGTATCATGGCTAAACATGATCTAGACCAGGGATGTCCAACTCCAGTCCTACAGAGCTACTGTCCTGCAGCTTTTAGATGCATCTTTGTTCTGTCACACCTGAATCAAATGAATAGCTTGTTACCAGGCCTTTTCCTAACTTGATGGCATGCTGAAGAGGTAATCCAATCATTTGATTCAGCTGTGTTGGAGTAAAGATACATCTAAAAGCTGCAGGGCAGTATTTCTCTAGGATTGGAGTTGGACACTTCTGTTCCAGATGTTGTGTGGTTTGTCCAGATGCAACACAAAGCTGAGCAGTGCTGCCATGTCTTTCTCATGGCAACACTTCCAAGCAAGCCATACTTTTTCAATCTTTTTCCAATTTTACTCATGAACTTTAACATTGTAACTGTAGAGTTTATGATGTTTATGGTTGAAATTTCTCTGCAGATTCCTCCTTGGTATTGAGTTAACACACACCTGAATGGTCAAAACCATCAATTGGTGCTAATTACCCTTTTAATTCCTATGGGTCCAATATGGTTGTACTTGGTTTTTCACTTAGTTTGCTGCTTTTGAATTTTGCATTGGTTTTGATAATTAAATAATAGCATTGTGTATGTCATGTTTTACTTTTATTACCATGTGTAGATGTGATTTGCAAAACAAAGTTTTCAACGTGTGGGCGCGATGTGAGAGCAGTGTCTGTGTCACTATATCTTTGTTATTTTTTGTTTCATTAATGCAAATTTCTTTTGATGTTTATATTGGAAATCCTGGACACAGGATGTATGAGGATATATTTGCTACTCTGCATCTCTGTGTCACTTCTTTATAGTTAATGGCATAATTTCCAGCACACTGCAAAACAGACAAGGAAAACAGCTCCACCTACAGAAATGTATACATAGTAAATTTACACCACAACATGTATGCCTGGGAAATTTAGTCCAAACATCGCAGCGAAAGTCAAACAACATAAACATTTTTTTTTAAATATAATAATTATTATTATATAACTGCCAAGTCTTACAGATCTGCCCCTAAAAGTACATGTCATGCCAACAAAGGAAATCATCAGCATTCTAATCAAAGCATTTTTCAACCATTTTTTTAAAAGTTCTCTTTCCTTTATTTAAGCATTGAATAGATTTTTCTATCAACTGATCAGAAGCATAGACATCTGTTAAGTAAAGTACAGGCTCTTGGTAAATGCATTGAGGAAATTAATGACTGGTTGTGCCACAATTTTCTCCAGCTAAACAAAAACAAAACTGA